CCGCCTCCTGGGTTCAGGCAATTCTCCTGCCTCAGCCTCCTGAGTAGCTGGGATTACAGGCACGCACCACCATGCCCAGCTAATTTTTTGTATTTTTAGCAGAGACGGGGTTTCACCATGTTGACCAGGGTGGTCTCGATCTCTTGACCTTGTGATCCACCCGCCTCAGCCTCCCAAAGTGCTGGGATTACATGCCTTGTCATTCTTAATGTATGCACGAGAGAGGAGAGACCTCTGTTTTCCTCACGGAACCCTAGGAATTAAAAGTGAACAGATAGCTCTCAAAATCTGTTTTTGCCCCACCTATGCCTATTTATTAAGCCTTAGAAGCTACATGTTTTCCTAGCCCTGTTTCTTAAGAGCTCCACCCCAAGGCCAATAATCCAATTAGGAGATTGGTAAATGAAAAATCTTATGGTGACTGGGTTTTCTCCTGCCTCTCTGTGTAGTTATATATGTGCTATACGTTTGGTGTCTAAAAAAAGAGCTCTGATTAATTGGCCTAAAGGAATAGAAATGCTTGGATCAAATACTTTTTAAAGGGAAGATAAAAGCTGTGGTACCTTTTAGTTCACAAGACCTTAGTCTTTGAGAAATAAAAACAGCCTTAAAGATTACTGGTAAAATGCAGATGTCATCAAAATATGAATAGGTGAACTGAATTATGCAGGTTAGATACTAGGTTTGCTATATGTTTTAAGATTATAAATTGCTTCTCTGGTTTTAAGAACTATTTAGCTTGCCTGCTTCACAACTGGTAATGCCTGGGGACATATGGAACTAACCACACCCTTAATTATGCTGGAAGGAGTCAAACCTTGGCTGCACCTATAGCACTTAAAACAATTTACCAGTTTTTACATTAAAGTCAAAAATTGCTAGAAGCTACCATTATAACATGTAATTGAAACAAATGGAAATAAATTTATATGTGAGGTGTGTAAGAACAGCAAATGTTTTTAATAAAAGATTATAAGATGGTGTCGAAATGTAAATTTTGGCTAGGGTTAAAGGATTGTTTTGAATTGGATGAGATAAAGGTAAAAGTTCAAACAAGTTGTGAAAGGACTGTAAAAATTAATCTTGCAAAAGAAATTCCATGTGTAAACATACTGCCTGAATTCAAAAGGGTATTATATGGCTTTTCTAAACATGGAACATTGAAATAAAATGCAACAAGGTATTCTTAAGGTACTAATCTGCTCTTAGGCAAAATTTGTAAAGATCTTTAAAAGGTTTTTTGCTTTTTTAAATTTCTAAGTCATCATTTTGGTAAAATAAATAACATGGCAATCTGGAAATCTATTTCATAGTATCAAGTATTTTAAATGTCTAACATATTTAACAGGCTTCCGAAAATCAATTTTTCAGTTTCAAAACTGTCTTTTCTGATGCTTGGCTTTTGGATGTTACAGAGGGCCTGCGGAGGATCTGAAAGAGAGGTAAACAGGATTATCTGACATGTTTAGTTACATGGGATTGCCAAAATAGTGTTCAGTCTTCTTCAGGTTACATTTTGATGAATAATACTAATATATGTTCCAAAACTGTCTGGGATTTCTAAAATTCTAATGTCTAAAGTATATTCTATCAATCATAATTCAGGTTGTTATGTATGTTTCTCATTGTAACTACCCTGGACATTTTGTTATCCACAGATAACATTTGTTTTGTTTTGATCCTTTTCAAAAGATGGTTTATAATCAGCTATATAACTTTGACAGGTGCTCTCAAATGCAGGTTTCTGATAACTTTAGAGATTGTAACATTGGAAAAAGGAAAAATGTATAGGACTTGTGAAAAACTGAAATGTTCATTAATATCAAGCAAAATAATAGTTACCTGAATGGACTACTAATAGAAAACTGGAGTAATCTTTTTGACTTTTACTTAGAGTATTGCTGATCTTTGTTTTGTTTTTCAGAATCAAAGAAACTTTACTTTGAACTATTTACGGACTTTCATGATTGGGAGAGGTATACTCCTGTGAACACAATTTGGAGCATTATTATTCTCTCTCTTCCTTGCTTCTCCAGAATTTGGAAACTAGTTGTGAGTATTCTTAACTCATGGCAATATAGTTGTTTGCATCAGTGCAATAAACATCTATTTTCTTTTGCAACAGGACAGAAACTGGTTATTTTATCATGGTTTTGACTGGAAAGGTATGCTTCCCTTTAAGGAGTCAAGCTTGACTTGCAGAGCTGATAAAAGTCCCTTAAAATAACTAGCACCATATCCCTCTCTATGCAGTCCATGTACAGGGTTCCTGACCTGTGGTAAGTAAAGCATGTCACTTTCTGACAGGCCCAGGAGCTCCAACT